GCTATCAGACTACACTTAAAGCTGCTACTAGCTAATACACATCATTACGGCAGTAATCCTGGGATTGTTTGATCATATGTTCCAGTACAAACCATCTTTTCTTCTCGGTTTCCCCTGCCCCCTCCCCTTCTCGTTTCCAGTACACATACACCCACACAGACACGCACACACATGCACACACACTACACAGACGCCCAACCCACATTAATGCATGTGTAGCCAGAAATTTTTTATTTCAGAAATTACAGATAATATCCGCTTAGCACAAGTGAATTCCTAGATGACTTAGTAGTGAAACTTAATAAAAACTACTTTTCCAAGGCTTTTATAACAAAATGAGAAAATTTATAATAATTTGAAGGGTCATTCGATCCAGAGTGGTACTATATCGCATAAAAATATACTTTTTCCCAATCTTTTTCCGAAGAATTACCAAACCTATATGTTCTGCAATATTTCACGTATAACTCGTACTGATCAAAACAACCACGAAATAAAGAAAGAAAACGGCATGGTTGCCGATTACATCATCGATGAAATCAGTAGTGAACTAATAGCCGTTTCAAGTACCTAATAAGTACTTCACGGTTGAAAAAATTCCTGACCGAGTAGATGTAAAATGAAAAATTTGTAAAAAACGTCATAACAATTAGTCTCGGTCAAAACACACAATTTTTATAAAATATGATTTTATAGAAATTGTGCAAAGACACTTTGAGCAATAGTTCTTTTAACCAAAACTCGTAATATTATGAAAGGCAATTTCTTCTTTCTCTTCCCTTTATATATTTAAAAGTACTCTTAAAAAGGGTCAAGTTTTCTGACCAGGTATCCGTTCGCTTTGCTTTGCTTTTGTACTGTACCACTGACTGATGTGTGCCGTTTAAATGAAGGGAAAAAACCGCCTAAATAAACACAAATATGGTGAGTTCTTTCTTCCGGCCACTTAAGATATGAAGTGTTTGGATACCAGGAAAAAGTCAGCAATGAAGAAAGGCTTCACCACAAAAAGACGAAAGCGAACGGAAGTGTCTGGCACTAGAGTCCACGCCGAATAATACAACAGTACTCAGACCATGTATAACATAATGTGTTTACCCTGACACAAGAATCTGAAAAAAAAAAAGGATACACTCCGAATTTGGACCTTCTTGATCGAAAATGGCGTTCCGTGGCCAAAGCACACTGTCTGTAGGTAATTCCAAAATTTGAAAATAAATGAAAACAGGAGTCCTACATTTTGTATAGCCCAATCAAAATGATGTGTTTTAATGGGACAATCAAAAGACTAAAAAAAAATTGTCAGTGCGGTAAAACTATGCGCACTCTTTCCTTTTTTTTCAAACTAGATTTTGCCCCCTGTTTAACGCTGATTTTTAGCAGTGGCTTTCCGTTGCATAAGCGCATAGACGCATGTTAGATGCTAATCTTCATAATATCAATGGCTCTAACTGACCAGGATTTTCCGCAAATTCTTATAACTGTAAGTGTTGGAAAGAGTAGAATTACCGCTGGCAAAGTGCAGTGACATAATAAATGAAG